AGGAAGGGAGACCGATGATGGAGGAGGACGAGGAGGCAGGAGGGTATGAAGGGAGGAAGAAGGAAGGAGGAGGGACGAGGGAGGGGGAGTAGGGAGGGACGAGAGCAGTTTTGAGAGGAGGGATGTAGTGAGGGAAAGGAGGGAGAGGATGGAGGAGGGAAGAGGGCACGAGAGGGCGGAGAGGAGGGTGGGGAGGAGGTGGGAGGGAGGGAGGGAGGGGGGGAATTAAGGGTTAGATGAGGGAGGAAGTGAGGGAGGAAGGGAGGGCGGGCGGGCGGGCGGGCGGGAGGGAGGGAGGCAGGATGAGGGATGCTGCTGATGCTGCTGTTGATGATGATGATGCTGATGATGATGCTGATGATGATGATGATTGTGCTGATGATGATGCTGCTGATGCTGATGATACTGATTATGCTGATGATCATGGTGATGCCGATGCTGATGATGGTGATGCTGATGCTGATGCTGATGCTGATCATGACGCTGATGATGGTCATACTGGTGACGATCATACTGGAGTAGCTGATGATGACGACGATGCCCATGACGATGACAATTATTATGATGCGGGTGGTGATGATGACGATGGTGATGATGCTGTTGGTGATGTTGATAATACTGATGCTGATGATGATGCCCATGGTCACGATGATGCTGATGCTGATGCTGCTGCTGCTGCTGGTGATGATGATGCTGACGCTGATGCTGCTGATGATGATGACGGTACTGCTGATGATGCTTATGTTGCTCATGATGATGATGATGATGCTGATGATGTTGATGATGATGATGCTGATGCTGCTGATGATGCGGATGATGCTGGTGGCGATGATGGTGTTTGTGGTGATGCTGAGGATGATGCTGCTGACATGCTGATGATACTCATGGCGACGATTATGCTGATGCTGCTGCTGATGGTGCTGATGATGACGATGGTGATGCTGTTGATGCTGAGTGTGCTGGTGATGATGATGCTGATGATGCTGATGATGTTGATGCTGCTGATGATGTTGGTGATGATGGCGACGATGGTGAGGAGGATGCTGCTGAGGATGAGGGCGGTGATGGTGGTGATGATTTTGATGACGATGCTGATAATGATGCCGATGCTGATGATGCTGGTGGCGGTGGTGGTGGTGATGATGACGCTGATGATGTTGGTGGTGGTGATGACGATGATGGTGATGCTAATGGTGCTGAAGATGATGCTGATGACCATGATGATGATCACGATGATGCTGATGATGACGATGATGATGATGACGCTGATGCTGATGATGATGATGATGCTGATGCTGCTATGGTGATGAGGTTGATGGATACCATTATGATCACGGTGGTGATGAGGTTGATGACGATTATGACGATGCTGATGCTGGTGATGCTGCGGATGAGGGTGAACATGGTGCTGATGTTGATGATGAGGATGCTGATACTGATGATTATAATGATGCTGATGCTGATGCTGATGATGGTGTCGACGACGACGACTACGATGATGCTGATGATGATGCTGATGATGATGCTGGTGATGATGCTGCTGATGATGATGAATCTGATGATGTGGAGGATGGGGATCATGCGGATAAGGACGAGGATGATGCTGAGAATGAAGCTGATGTTGCTGATGTGTATACTGGTTAGCATTCTGAAGGTTACAACGACGATGGTGG